CTAGCTGGGCTTTAAAAATTATCGGATGCAGATCATTCAGGTGCGTAGCCAGTCTACGAAGGGGGGGGGGGTATAATTCTTTTTTATATTGAAATAACTTTTTTTGGAACATTAAAAAATTATTAGAACTATATAAAATTTATCATAACCAATATTAAAAAGGACAATTTCGAACACGAAAATTTAAAATATTTAAGAGCGAATATAATATTGTTTTTCATACCAAAATTTAAATTCTGAAATTGGCCTTCAGATACATTTATATTCACAAAATATTAGCGAAATATTTAATTTATTCAATATCATTTAATATATCCTCAAAAGGATTATAGGTAATAGTATTTGTAAATGAGATGGAGCCATTTGATGAATCAGAAATCGATCTTTGAATTGAGTCAAAAATATATTTAAAAATAGAGACAATAAGATATTTTATAGTAATCCTTCCTATTTAATATTGAAATTGTTTGTCTAGGTGCAAGTCTATGCTTGCGAATCTCAAAACATATAATTTGGCCTTGCCCTCAACAATCACATAAATCTCTTGAAATGATCAATATATCACTTAGTTTTACAAATGTTAATATAACATTCGCGATTTTCATAGCTTCAGTTAAATACATATCATTTTTTTTGAAAATATTGCATAAAATTGTGGGGTATTTATAATTTATTAAAACATTTTAGTGGAAAAAAAATCAGCTATCATATTGAATCTATTAATGTATCTGCTTCAGATAAAATATCTAATTCATGCCATTCTAATATCCCCCCTCCTTCCCACGTTACGCACCTGAGATTACTAATTTATACCTATTTTGGAATTTGATTATAACCTAAAATAGAATTTGATCTTAAATAAATTTATATATTATAAAAGGAAAACATTATGTTTAAAAATTTTTTTCTCATTTAAAGAATATTATATCAATGACAGACGATTTTTGTTGTTTAAAAATTTATATGATGTCGTTCATTGATTGACATCAATAAAGATGATTGATTACATGACTTTATATATTATAGGCGATGATATAAATACTTAGTTTTAAATGTAATATTCAGCAAAGTTGTTTATACATCGTATATTATGTTATCTATGAGATTACTACCTTATCATGGTGGTAAAAAACAAAAATCGGATATTAAATCAAAATGGAGTTTGGGTAATAAAATGGCGCAATGCAAGTTAGAAAATAAATGAAAACATTCCCTCTTTAACCTATATTAAAAATGCATATTAAATGAAAAAGAATTACAAAACGTTTAATAAAATTAGAAAAAATTTTTTTTTTAATCAGCAAAAATTACATAAGGTCGTCTGCATTTAATTGCGGCAAGTTTGACGGATGCATCATCGCCTATACATGGTTTGCCTCCAAAATGAGGAAAGGAATTTGAACATTTTCTTATCCAATATTCTAAAAGTTGAGCTCCAGCTATGCATTCAGTATTTATACATCGTTCATATGGTAACTATGTTCCCCATTTGCCATCTATGGGCATAGAGGGACCAACTTGATCGTGAACTGAAGCAGGTATCGGAACACATTTGCCACTTTGACACCAACTGTTTTCTCCACAATAACTCATTTCCAAAGCTGGACCGCCTGCACTGACTTGCATTCACCCTATATAGGCTAGTTTTCCGCATGGTAAAAGTTCACAAACAGGCATTTTAACTGATTTCTGATAAAAACCATTAATTCCTTGATTGATAGAGCATTGTTCATCCAACGATATCTTATAACCATAGTTTGGAATATTATACAAATTGTACTCTGGTACTAATTTTGGAGCATCATAAAAACAGTTATATTTATTCTTCGATGAATTATATGTTTTCATAAATAATTCTCGAGAACATGGTGACCAAAATTCGAGCCTATCTGTAAGCAGTGCATCCATTATATAGCCCTTATTTATGCAAGCTGGATTTTAGGTTAGATCATAATCTAATTTGTCAATTTAGTAAAAATATTTATTAGTTTGTTACTTGTGGCCCACTTCATGGGCTATTTGTTTAAATATGCTGTATCCTTTATGAATGCCACCTTCGATAATGGCACAGGATAAAGACTATTGGCAAATTGTCCCAACTTGTGCTCCACCTTCAATCATATTAGTTTTATCATCAAATAAATCATTCCTATAAATGAATAGAATATTATATAAGGTTTAGTGTCTTAATATTATAATATGTTTTCTCTCTTCCTTCAGGACTATAACTATAGCATGGTGGTTAGGATCCCACTAAAAAATTAACTCCCTCCTAATCATACAAAATTTTCCAAATTTTATTTTGCGTTTTATTAGTGATTTTTTTTAAAGAAAAGAGTCACAACTTAAATATTACATAAAATATGCTTATTGCCTAACGTAAACCAGACATATAACAAGGCAAAATGACCATAAATATAAACATGATAAAACATATCTTAGATTCATTTTAAAACAATATTTGAATCTTATTTAGTGTTATTTGAGTAAAAGATAGGAATGATAAATTTTAAAGAAAAACGCTCTTTTAGGTAAATTTATATTTAATAGATTTATATTATTATTATTAAAATTCATTTAAAAGTCACTTAAAATAGATAAATGAACGTTTTAAGTAAAACTATTCTATTAAAACATTAAAAAATAAAACCATCGCATCATCATATATGTTACAATTTTACTATCAGGTATATAATATATTTGAAATAATAATTCGTCTCATAGAGATTGTATATAAGTATATATAATTAATTTTAACTCAATATGATCCCTAATACCTTACTTAGAGGTCTGCAATGATGGGGTTGGGTTTAGCCCACCAGCCCTACCAACCCATTTTTCTGGCATACTTTGGTCGGTTTTCTAAAATATTTTAAATATTGAGCGGGTGTCGTTACTGCATATTTTATTCGTTTAATTAAGAATACATCAAAGTAAATTAATATAACCATTAAAATAATTTTTAAACAATGAGTAATGGGCGGGTTAAATAAAATTTTAGATAAATTGGCAGAGGAAGTGGGGGAGGGTGAATTTAGAAAAAAATAAATTGGCGGTTTAAAGGCGAGCTTGTTGGCTAAATGAAACCAGACCACTGTAGACCTCTAACTTCATTTATCAGTGATATGTTCTAGTTACGGCCCTCTCTCTCTTATATATAATAAGTAAATAAAAATTACTATATGATACCCAGTGTATAATAAAGCATTATAGCATCTCTTATCCTTTACATCTGTCCCTGGCGAATTTTTTAAAGCTTTATATTTACAGAATATATCTAAGTAATCTTGCCACCTCCCATCGGTTTTCAATTCAGAGGGTTGAGTTGTCATAAGTATAACTTTAACTAAAGTTCGACAGGCATACCCAAACTGGGATGTTTAAATATCATGCTCGCCATATTCATAGTAGCTAGTATATAATGAATAGCCTTTTCTTTGTTGCCCACCATGTATTTATTGATAAAGCTATAAGCATCCATAAAAACAGCTGTTTCGAGTTTGAAAATACTCTCCTCATTAGACATTTCCCTTTTAGTTTTCACTTTGCGAGGGTTAAGGCCTAATATAATAATTAAATAAAATAATTTTTTAACCAGTTATTATCTCAAACAAAATTAAATACACTATTTGAATATTAGGTTAAAATCATCAGAGATATACTCAGAGTGCCTCGTGAATATTTTACAGCTCCCTCCCCAATCTCTGGTATTGAATATCAATTATCTCGTTATTTAAATTTGAAAATTTGATTTTATCAAAATGGATTCCAGAATGCGATATTATTCTATAAATTTTAGATAAATTCGGTTATGCAATTTTATCATTTTACTATGTAATGGGCAAAAGCAATACGCCGACTGACTACATATTGCCTTATTATACAGATTGACGTTAACATAAATCTATTTAATAAGTATAACCGCTTCGAAATAACAAGAAACCATATATTTTAAATGTTAAAGTAACGGTAAGAATACGAAAATGTTATAAACTTTCGTCCTGATATTTCTTGAAAACATTACTTTACTAAAGCTATGTCCAAATGTGTTTTATGCCATGATCTTCACAAAACTTTTTAAATAATTGACTAAAATTCGTACCATTATCCGTCACGATTTTATGTGGTATTCCGAATAAGCTTATTATTCTCATCAATTCTTTTACTGTTGATTCCGTCGTAATGTTTTTCATTCGTTTTATAATCGGAAATTTGCTATATGCATCCACAAATACCATAAAATTGTTGTTTTCAAATTGTGCAAAATCTATATGTACACGTTCAAAAATCTTTGTTGCTGGTAGTGATGTTAAGGTAACTAGTTACATTTTGGCTAAAAAATAACTGTAACTAGTTATATTTTTAAAATTGTAACTAGTAACTGTAACTAGTTATAATTTTTGAAATGTAACTGCCTAAAGTAACTAGTTACTTTTAACGATATATTCAAATAATTAATTTTATTTTTAATATTTGTGATAAATTAATTTTAAATTAAATTTATTAATTTAATATTTTGTGAAAATGTCTGATTGTTATAATTTCCCGTTCAAATTGATTTTCTTTTCTTAAATTGTTACATTGCTGCTGGGCTTCATGATTTTGTAAGGAAATTCAAGTAATTTAATAAATTTTAATATTATATTTATTTACAAATGTAGCACAATATATTTTTTTCCGTCAAGTAACAAGCATTGGAACTTCATATCATACGTAATAAAAAAAATTTTTTAGTATAAGGAAAAACAAAGACAGATTATTTTAGAATTTAATATTAAATTATTAATCATTACTTACAAGAACCATGTCTAACAAAAGCATAAGAACATGACTCAAATTTAAAAAAATGATTGCTTTCTGAAATTTATTTTTTGGTCTAGCCTGAATTTTATTTATATTCAAATTATATATAAAATAGACACATTTTAGAACTGTATGTTTCACTCTAATTGATTATTCTATTCCTAATTTAGATAGTGCTATTTATATTTATCTCCTAGATGGAAGAAACAGAATACAATATGGATATGGATTCTGAGTCAGATGAAGAAATTATACTTTCTCCTACAATAATTGCAAAAAAAAATGACCTTCCTTGGCCAAGTTTTGAAAAATATTTTGAATACCACAAGGCTGGTAATAATACTAATATTATTGTCAAATGCCTCTTATGCCTACTATATAAAAAGTATACTGCAGCATCTAAGTCATCCACAGCTAATTTATGGAAACATATCTCTGTAAGTTTATATAAATTGTATTAATATTATATAGAATAATTAAATGAATTAACTTTATAACAATAATTAATATTAATTAAATATTTATATATATAAAACATATATCTATAGAGAAAGCATCCTAACCAATCCGTAAATATAAAACAAACCATAGATAATAAAAAAAACAATTCAGCCACATCAAGTAAGTTAAAACAAACTAAACTTGACTTTGGTGGAAAATCAAATTTTAAAGGTATCAGCAAAGATAAATTTGATTCACAAATTATTAAATATATAATAAATGGAAATCACCCATATACAACCTGTGATGATGAAGATTTTGTTGAGCTGATAAACACCCTGCAACCTAATATGAAGATTATATGCAGACAAACCTTAACCTCAAGAATATCAAAATATTTTGTTCAAATGAAAGATATTCTAATAGAAAAATTGTTAGAGCCTAATTATGTTTGTACAACAGCTGACTGCTGGACAGCATTTAATCGGTAAATATTATTTTTTACTAAAGTGCACAATACATTTGGTTATCTTTTGTTATATTAATAATAGCTCCTATATTGGTATAACAGTGCATTGGATTGATGTGGAGAAATTGGAAAGGCGTTCAGCTATTCTAGCCTGCCAAAGACTACAAGGTAGGCATACATATGATGTGATCAGCAAAGCCTTAACTGCTGTTTTTAAGGAGTTCCATATCCAAAATAAAAATATCTGCACAATAACGGATAATGCTAGCAACTTTTCAAAGGCGTTTAGGTATGCCTAACTAATTTACTTTATAAATTATTTCTCTTAGAGTATTTAGCTGCCCATCTATTATAATGGAGGAAGATTCTGTTTCTGATATTGAATATATCTCAATAGAAGATATAATGTCTTCTTCTGGGCTCTCCAGTTATGATATTAATGACTTCGACTACCTTCCCAAGCATCGAAGATGTTCTTGCCATACATTAAACTAAGTGGCAGCACAAGATGCCAACAAGTTACTTTTAAACAATGAGGGGTATAGGAAAGTTTATAACTTAGCTATATCTAAATGCCAACGTTTGTGGAACCTCCAAAATAAATCTGGGCCATCTGCCGAACTTATTTTAAAAAAATTACATTCTCAACTCCCATATCCCGTTATAACAAGGTGGGGTTCCTTTTATAAATCCCTGGCCAAAATATTATCGTTCTTAAATCAAGTGCCTGTGGAATTTGATTCATTATGTGATGAATTAAAATTGTGTAGATTCACATCAGATGATCGTGATTTTATAAAAGAATATTGTAGTGTAAATTTAAATTAAAGTCTTATAAAAATTTACAATTTAAAAATTAGATTATGCGACCAGTGTCCAAAGCCATTGATATTCTTGAAGGTGAAAAGTACATGTATCTGGGTTATTATACCCCAACAATAACACAAATAATTATATGTATGGCAGATGTGCAGGTATTAAAATATTGTCAACCTCTAAAGGATACTATATTAGCTAGTATTGAAAAAAGGTAACTTAAATCAAATAATTATTTATAAATTAATAATATCATGTTATAGGTTTAATAATCTTTATGATAATGACATCATCATTGCTTCAATTCTTCACCCTTTATTTAAAACTGATTGGCCTTGGATTAGGCAAGAAAGGAATAAAGCAAAAAAGGAGGAAATTTTAAATTTAATAAATACCTTAATACCTCAGAGTGAATCCCAGACGAATGAATCATGCTCAAAACCAACATCACTTGATGTAGTTGGATTTTTTGACCTAAAGCGCCAAAATATTCTGGATAATGAACTTATAGAAAACTTTATCAAATCTAATAACAACACGTTTTCTTTATATAACGATTTTCCAAAGTTAAAATTACTCTTTATTAAATATAATGTTGTTCTAACATCAAGTGCTCCCGTAGAGCGCTTGTTCAGTCTAGGTAAGCTCATATTTGGAGATAAACGAGCACGTCTAGATAATAACTTTTGAAATTAATTTGTTGTTAAAAGCACATTTATTAGATTCTAATTTTTATGAAAAATTAATTTTTTTTTTTTCAATTCAAATATATATTTTTGTATTCGATGTAAATATTCAATTTTGCGATATTTTTTATATAAATAAATTGTATATTATTTAATAACTGATTATACTTTGTTTTTTTTTATATTAAATAAATGTCAATAAATAAATAATGCGCATATGAATGATGTATAAAGTAAGTAACTAGTTACTTTTGAAAATAACTGTAACTAATAACTAGTTACTTTTGTAAAAATGTAACTAGTAACTGTAACTAGTTATGTTTCAAAAGTAACTTTTAACATCACTAGTTGCTGGTTCCCATGGGTTTTGTATATTGTGAGGATTGTCCGAAAATCTATTACATGAGTCACAATTTTTTACCTCCAGATCTATCTCCGTGTTTATACCAGGCCACCACAAATAATCTCTCGCTAACATTTTTGTTTTGCCTGCACCCAGATGTCCTTTATGCAGTTCGTGTAAAATCTCTTTTCTCATGTTCAGTGGTATTATTACTCTGTTTTCTTTAAATAAACAATGTTTTATCAAACTCAATTCCATTTCCATGTTTCTGTATGTTTTGTTTTTTATTGGTTCATTATTTCTAATATTATCAATTATCTCCATTAATTCTTTATCATTCTTTGTTTCTTTAACTAATTGATTGAAGTTTATTGGTATATCCCATAATTTATCATCAACTTTTTCAACTACAACATTCTTTATCATGTTTTCTTTATTTTCCTGTGGTAATCTCGATAAGCAATCTGGCACTAAATTTCTTTTCCCCGGTCTATGTACTTATAGTGATACGCTCCCATTGCCAAGTTCCATTTTTGTAAACGCATCGATATTGTAGTGTTTTCTTTGAGTGTCTTTGAAAAAATGTATATAAGAGGCTTGTGGTCGGTTATTATTCCCTTTCGATATTTGTATAATTTGTTTCAGCTTTTAACAAAGTTCTTGATGCGAACGCAATAGGTTTTTCTTTACCATCTCCTTCGATGTGAAATAAGACTGCTCCTAGTCCTTTTTTCGATGCGTCCGTCGCAATTCCAATTGGTAGATCAGGGTTGTAAAAATTTAAAGTTGGCGGACTACTAATCAACATTTTCAAATCATCGAAACTCTTTTGGTGCGCATCTTCCCATATCCATTTTTCCTTGTTAACCATTTTATAAAGAGGATCAGCTAAGTCAGCAAAGTTGCACAAAAATTTCCTGTAATAACTGGCCATGCCTAAAAATGTCGCTAGTTCTTCTTTTGTTGTCGGTTTTGGCATGTTTGTAATTGCATCTATTTTGTTTTCGTTCGGGTAAATGCCAGTTTCATCTATATCGTGTCCTAAAAATCTGATCTTTTTTCATAAACGCTTTTTTCGAAATTTGGTGTGAGCCCATATTTAGTTATTCTGTCGAAGACTTTTTTATATTATTAATATGTATTTCATCATTATCACCAGTTATCAGTAAGTCATCTATGTAGAATATCACGTCCTTCATATCCCCAAATATTCGATCCATGGTACTTTGAAATATCGCAGATGAAGTTTTTAAACCAAAAGGTAGTCTTGTGAATTGATAATACCCTTTGTGTGTTGAAATGGTCAAAATGTTTCGGCTATTCTTGTCGATCGGAATTTGCAAGAAGGCCTCTTTGAAATCTATTTTGGTGAACTTTTTTCCTTTTGATAATTTTGCAATTAGATCGTTTATCCGTGGAATTGGGTATTTGAAGTCCTCCAAAGCAGGATTTACAGTGCTTTTGAAATCCGCATAACCTGAGCGATCCATCACTTTTGTAAACAGGAGTAAGTGGACTTGCCCAGCGTACCTCCTCTACTGGTTCTATTATCTTGTTGTCGAGCCATTTCTGTAACTCTTTTGTTATTAAATCAATTCTTTTGTATGGAATTCTTCTTGGTGGTATTATTTTGGGTGTGGCGTTTTCTTTTAGATATAACTTGACGTTGCTTCTACAGATCGGTTTTTTGTTGATTTTTGACTTGCATTCTTTTATCAAATTTTCTATCGTATCATTATGATTTTCTTCGATCTGATTTACAAATTTATCTAATATATTTCCAAAAACTCTTATCCAGGTCCTTCCTAGAAGTGCAATCTTGTCACTTTGAACCACATACGCGTTTAATTTATGAGTTTTCTTTTCAAATCTTGCATTGACTTGTGTAGTTCCCAATACTTCTATTCTCTTGCCATCATAGCCCGTGAGTTTGATGTCCGATTTATTTAAGATTTTGATTCCTATCTTTCTTGCAAAATTAATCGGCAATATTTGATTCATTTTGATGTCTATTAAATCTATTATTATAATCATTGTAGTATCGATTATCATTATTATAATAATTATTTCTATTATAGAATCTTGAATTAGAGTTGTTTCGATATCTATAGTTGTTATGGTATCGCGGATTAAAATTTTGTTGTCTTGGGTAATAACTGTTTTGATATCTTGGGTTGTAGTTATTCCCTTGATAATTGTTAAATCTTGGTGTCCATTGATATCTATTTGTATAATTCATTTGTGCGTTAGACCCTTTGTTATGATCATCATATTTAACCATGCGCCTATCCATTTTATCATCCCTGCGTCCTTCTATTTGTTTGATAGCTCCATTGTCAGATTCTATTTTTATATTTTCTGTTTTATTAATACGACAGCTTAAACTCCCTAATTTTAATATTTCTGATATTGTTAACCCTTCTGACTTTGCAATTTTTCTTCGTAATTCTTTGTTAATGGTCGACACTCTTATTTTTTCTATCGCTCTATCAAAATTAGCATATTTACATTTAGTATTTAATCTACATATTTTGCTTACCCAATTTTCGAACGTTTCACCTATTACTTGTTCAGCTGCATTGAATTCTTTTATGTAAGAGTCCACCGATTTTTCCGGATGTAAAAGCTTGAACCTTTCGATAACGATTGCCGGGTTAGTGAATTCTGCCACCGTACAAATAGCTTCTAATTTTAGATATTCCTCTTCTGGAAGTCTTTGTGTGAAACGCCTTTTCAGCCTCTGTATACTGTGGATCTTTTAGTATTGCATCAAATCTTTTTAAGAAATATTCTACGTTATTACAATATATAGGGCATTCAAGTATAGAATTTTTCAATGGTTTCATTTTATTATAATCTATAATATTTTAATATTTAATTATTTATAATTTATATGAAATTCATAATATATATCATACTACAATTATTTAATATTTTTGATACATCTTCGCTTTTAAAATAAATCTTTTTCCATCGCTGTCTATATATTCCTTGTTGTTGATGCTCCTGTAAACGTGTTGCATGACGTCAAAATTTTCGTAATATACATGAGCAATCGTCCTGGTTTTGTGTCTTAAGTAAACGTAATTGTTGGTAGCTTCATCATAAATTCGTTTAATAGTGTATTTCGAAGGTAACTTTATGACTAACAGGTAGTTATTAACTGCCACCATAATATTTATGGAAGGCACGGTATAAAAAGGTATAGGTAAAAATAAACTTTATTTCAAAATATTTATTATGATATTTTACATTAATATTTTACAGTTTATATACAATTTCTTTAATCAGTTTTATAAGTATTCACAAAATAAGTGAAATAAAAAATTATATAAAATTAACGTTTTTTAGTATGTTGTTACTATTCAATACTAAAATATCTTACAAAAAATAAGATTTACAAAAAACTAATTTTTAAGATACTTTGAATATTACTCAAGGTAAGAAATATAAAATTTATCTAAAAAATTATATAACTTTATTTTTTGAATAATAAAATATAATCAGTCATATTAACAATTTCCCTAAACTGGGATGTCTAAATATCATATTGGCCATGTTTATAGTAGCTAATATGTATTCAACAGCTTTTTTCTTATTTCCCGCCATGTATTTACTCATAAAACTATAAACATAAAAACAGCTGTTTAAATTTTGAGTTGACTCGTATCATCCATTGTTTTCCTTTTAGATTTCACTTGGCGAAGTTTAAACATTCTTGCTGGGTCTGTATATATCAAAATAAAATGATATTTTAAAGTATTCGTTATACTAATAGAAAAATTGGTATTAAATAACCAAATTATTGGTCAACCATGTCTTCTTAATTTCTTTTAAATACAAATTTTTTGATTAGTAAAATATTGTGTAAAACATAACATTTATAAAAACTATATAAAAAAGTGGTAAGTCACTGAAACTAGGTGAAATTTTAATATTATTTTTTATTTTTTTTTAAATATTTTTTTATTAAAAAATAATAATTATGCGATCGTGTGAAAACTCTAGTACTAGAGAGCCAAAAAGTCAACGCGAATGAGATGTCCAATATCAAAGCCCAATTAGCCAGCGCCACTGAGCAAATCGCCAGGCTACTAAACGTTATGGAATCCAACCGTGACTGAAAGACCCCGATAATCGGAGGATCGCCGGCTCCCAATATTGCAGGACCAAGCAACTTTAACGTAACTAAGATATTTCATAATCCAGAGCCTCCAATGGATAAATCGGAAAACTCCATCGAGTTCTTACTGTCGGATGAGGAAATCAGAACGTTAAATATCATGGCGGAAACCGACAAAGCAAAGCTTATAAGGATAGCATGTCACTTCCGGAATGCTATTTGCCTTGCCGAGAGAGCCCCGGGTTACCAACTGCGGGGACGCGATGCCCACGAATTCCCCTCACTCAAGCTTTACGTTAAGGAGATGAACCAGGATTCTTCTATTGAATTCCTTAGAGCCGTAGCAGCAAAAGCGCAGATTTACACTAAATATTGTGCTTGGGGGTGGGAGCAGATCCGTTTCGAGTCTCAAAACAATCTGTGCAAGTTCGTAGGGGGTATGCCGCCAATGCCAAACTTGCAGCACTTTTCAGCCCACACCTCCTCAGGCGGAAGAAAGGCGGGGGGAACTGGGAGAGATAGACTCCCTACCGCCCACGATGACGACATTATCCAAATCTCCGACACCGTGTCTAAAGGCGGTTTCCCTCAACGGGGCAAGAAGCCAACGAACAGTCGGTGAATTCATGGGGAAGTTGCCGCCATCA